ATTTTATTATTTATATTTTATTTTTTCAATTTATTACATTGATGGTAAATAATTTGTTTTTCAAATTTTATAAATTTCTTGAAATCTACGTTAATTATCAATAATTTAATTATAATAATATATAATATATATTAAAATTGTTGTGAAGAAATAATATAAATATAGTTTGTTTTAAGACACATTAGCAAAAAAAATTAAACACTCATTCTATTATTATACCATTTGAATCATCAGTTATTTTATCATAAAAATGTACCAATAAAGCTTTCTTTTTATTTTTTAAAAAAATATCTACATTTTGTCCCATTCATAAATTGTATTGAATGGAATATGTGTATTTATGAATGAACCTTTAAAGATAATATCAACATTAAAATTTTATAATTACTGTGTTTTTCGACATTACAATTATAATATTATTAATTTTCTTTTATCATATTAAGTTTTACATAAATTTATATATTTAAAAAGAAAATTATAAAATTTAAAAACAAAAGATAATTCATTTGATGAAAAAATGATTTATAATCCTACAAAATCAATAATAAAATTAAAAATTGTTTGGATAACAATATCTTAATAATTATAATTTTACGTAATATCATAAATTTTCTATATGTATTGCATTCATAAATACAACAATATTGAAAAATTAATTTATTTAAATATTTCATTAAAGAAAAGATACTATTTTATTATTATTTTAATTAAATATGATAATTAAATAACGAATCAATAAAAATATTAAACATTTCGAGAAAAAAACAGGAAAAATTTAATTAAATACATGACGATTTCAAATTAATTATTATATCATTTGAATATATTATAATGTTGCAATAAAATAAATTTAATTTCAGGAAAAAATTTTTCTATCTTGAGATATGTAATTACAATTTTCCTACCAATCCTATTCAGATGTTTCATTTATGCTATTCCCCTAAATTTAATTTCAAACTTTAAATGCAACAAATATTTAATTGTTACATTTTTAGACATAATTTTAAATGGTTCTTCGTTTGTTAATTAATTATTTAACAAATTAATTTTTACTTATGGATAAATGAATAAAACATTCATAAATTTTGCAATCTAAATATGGTATATTTTATTAATAAATTATTATTAATAAAGATTATTCTATTAATTTGATATTAATTTGATATTAATTTGATATTTGATTTGATTATTCGATATTTAAAAAATTAAATCTGAGATGTAATTAGAAAGAGGAGGAATTATGTAAAAGAAGGCTAAAATAATAAGAATATAAGATTGCTAAATGAGAAAGACATTTAATATAACACAATACAAAAATCTGAGAGTAAAAAGAAAAATAACAGATGTAACGAAACTGTAATTATACGTAAATTTTATAGCGAATTAGTCGCCAACAGTGTCTACTTAATCTTTATAACCCTTTTAACTACTTATTTATTTATACTACTATAACGGGTGGAACACTCTTTTCGTACAGATGTTCAAATGTAAAATTTAATTAATTAAATTTTTATTAAATTTAATTAAATTAAATAAATTAAAATTTTATTAAATTTAATTAAATTAATTAAATAAAACTTATTAAATTTGTAAAATAATAATAATAATTAAATTAAATAACCCAATATTTAAATAATCCAGTTTTGAAATCCAAACAAAAAAAGGAATCTATATCAGTCTATAATAAAAATTAACTGATAAACAAATTCCATGGATTTATATTTATAAATGCAGAGGAATAATACGAGCTGAATTACAATGAATTAGTGATGGAAAAAAAATTAATGTTAATTTAGAATATAACTAAAGAATCATTAATTAAATCAATAATTTGAACAAGACAAAATTTGGATGCCTAAAAATTTTGCATTCATCGTATCATATTTCGCATATAATTCTATCCAATCTAACAACAAGTTCAACGATAAAATTATTTATTTTAATGTCTCACATTTTTTTTTTTAGAAATTTAAATATATCCACTCTACAGAAATGAATCTTTCGATAAAATATATTTACGATTCTAAATTTTCGTCAACAATTTTTTTCTATGAAACTGCACTTAGATTTATTTTATGATCCTTCTTTATAAAACTTATAAGATTTTTTAAATGATCCAGTTTCACTGGAAAAATAAATCTCACCCGAGCATCAAATAATCAAATAATAACAGATAGAAAACAAGGCATTAGAAAAGCTCACACACCCAAAAAAAAAGGAAGATTAAAATTCATGCTTGAAATGAAAAATTCAATTCGTCCTTCGTGTTCTCTTCAAATTGATATTTGCTTAAACTTCTGACGACGAACCATCAGAAGTTGATTACTAAGATAAACAAGATGTATTTTTCGTTAATGCATTACACATCGTTCGAGAAGGAACGGTGAGAAAGAAAGGGGCCACGTCCCCAGTGCTCCCTTAATGCTCGCGTGACATCGTTCCGCAATTTGCATGGCAGGCAAGCCTATCGCATCGTTTTGAAACTGTTTTGAGAACGGGAGCTCTTACCCTCCTCGACCGAGCCTATTTTCAAAATTAGTGGATAATTAAGAGGAAATGGAGGAGTGGAGTCACGAGGAGAAATTTAAAAATTGAAATTTTATTATATCGATATTTTATATATATATATTAATTAATTCGATTATTTAAGGGGAATATATTTTGATTGTATTAATTTTACGTAATATAAAAAAAAATAATAATAATAAAGAAACGTAAAAATTTAACGATTTTAATACGCATAATCATTTTCGTCACAACAAAATGTTGATGAAAATTAATAATCAATGAAAGGTATGTCGTATATGAGTGGTAATTAGCAGCGTGTTCTTATATGTGATTCCATGTTGAAAACGAAGCTGAAATGAATAAAAGTTTTTGCTTTCAACTGTCATTGAAATTGAATACGTTAATTCATCTGGATAATTTTAACGGGATGCCATTTCAATAGATGAAGAAAATAACTTGATAAATATCGAATTCGGTTTCTGTGATGAGAAAAAAAAAATGGTTTCGTTAAAAAAAATTAATTAAATTGGATAATATAAAAGGACATAATTTATTTATTTTTTTCAGGTGAATATCACATACAAGTCGTGTGAAAATTAACTTTATTTTTAACTATTTAATTTTAGAAACTATTTGACATTTTAATTTGAATTTTCAATCAAAATTTATCGTATTTATATCGTTCGTGGTTTCTTTGATATGATAAATTTTATAAAATATCGTTTAAATTAATAGTTTTTTGTCAGAAATGCATTAATATATTTTTTACAGAAAAATACTATATCAATTAATATATATATATATTTGATTTTCCATTCGATTTGTACATGTTTCAAAAATTTGATTGAAATTACTTGATCAATTTTATTTGAAATAATTTTTAATATTCAAATAAAAAAAAAAAGACATATTATTTTCTCTCTATATCTTGACTTCAAATTTCCTTCTTGTCATATAAAGAATCACATTGTACTTTCTGACAGAAAAATTGGAAAATTATTTTCCAAAAAAATTTGTTAAAACAATATATTTATAGATTATTTTGATCTCGATATTGCTAAAATCTATTAACTCGATGATTCGTGTCGAAAACTTGACAAATCCCAAGATCGAATTCTCGTCCCATATCAATCTATCACATTTATAAAATACTCTCAACATCATTATTTTCTCTAAATATATATTATTTTATTACATTAATTTTATAAATAATATTATTTTATTTTATAAAATAACATATATTTCTCTAAATAAAAATACAAAAATTCGGAGTAATTATTTTCTCGAAGCAATCACTATTTCTCGAAATTACACTCGTAATCTCGAAGTATATATCATTTATTATACGAAGTCTTTCAATAGAGAGAAAGAAAGATTGGAAAGAATGAATTCGTAAAGAGAGTTTCCCTGCATTACGCTACATTGCCTACGTTCCGTTGCCGATTAATAGGAGGAGATCGCCTCGGAGCCGGGAGCTGTTCGAGGCCCTCGCTGAGCTGGCTCGAGTAATCGATACTGCACCAAACCGGGAGAACGGGGCGAAAGGGAGGGGGAGGGGGGGCGGGGTAGGCGCGATGGACACTATGTATCCATCCGTCCGCCCGCTATTATCGTATCTGACACCCGAGCGATGGCGAGTGGGGAGGGGGGAGAGGGAGATGGAATCGTTCACAGAATCGAATCGTTTCGATTCTGTTCGGGGACCGATCCCTCGGACGAAAGACGATCGAGGTTGATCTCTCGATTTTGCCGATTGTGGAAAAGCAGACGGCTTCGCGTGACGCTTGAAACTATTCCCGTCTTGCGTCTGGCGAATGGAGAGGAGGGAAGGAAAAAAAAAAAAAAAGATGAAGGTTGAACAATAAAACTCGATTGTTCCGCCTGGTTGCGTGTACGCTTTGTCCGTTTTCTGTTTTCTCTTTTCGCGACGGCAAGAAAAAAAGCGGTTAACGTTTAAGCGTATTTCGCGATCCCTTTCCATACGTTGAACGAATCCGCCGCCAAGAATGGCGACGTTCATTAGAAGAGCGAGATTCCCCGTCAGGAGAAGATACAGTGAGTTTTAATTTTTTTTTTTTTCCCCCCGAATCGGATCGACTTCGAAAAGTCGCGATAAAACGAGCGGAGGCTTCGATCTCACCTAACCATATTGCCGTTAACCGAATCCAACGGATCGTTGACACTCGACTATATATATATAACGTGACTAGGTTACGGCTCACGCGAATAAACCCGTTTTTCCTCCCGTCACCTCGTATTCATAACGGTCGAAAGGGCCTATTTTTCTTCTCGGAGCCACGAATTCGATCGAGGAATTCTTATCCAAAGAGAGAGAGAGAGAGAAAAAAAAATCATGCACGCTGCTCTCGCGATATTGAGAGATAACTCATCGTGGTGGTGTAAGAGAAAAAAGAGAGGGGAAGATATTTTAATTCGGTTGATAGAAAAGGAACGGAAATAAACGAATTTACGATAATTTACGTTGTTCACAGGCAAATCACCGTTCTTCCCAAGTTTGGAGGATCAGAGCGGCACGCTGCTAGAGGATCCTAACGCGCCGAGCCAATTGGATGGCGTCGGTGGAGTCGGAGTCGGGGTCGGTGTCGGTGTTGGAGTCGGGGTCGGAGTGGGTGTGGGTGTCGGCGTGGGCGTCGGTGTTGGGGTCGGCGTCGGTAGCGGAATAACTGGATCTCAGACGGCACCGCTTTCCTCCCCTAGTCGGAGCAGTCCTCACAGTCAAGGCAGTGAAACCGGAGAACGCTTCTCTAGGAAAGTGTTTGTCGGTGGCCTGCCACCGGACATCGACGAGGGTGAGCATCTCCTCTTCTCCTTCTTCTCTCGCTTTCCTATATCTTTTTCTTTTTCTTTCTTTTTTTTTTTTTTTTTTTTTTTTTTTTTGACTCGATTATTACCCGAATATTTCTCTACGTTTATTATTACTTTTCTTTTTAATTTTAATTATTATTTTTCTCTGCAATTTCAGAGGAGATCAAAGCGAGTTTCCGCCGTTTCGGATCGTTGGTGGTCGATTGGCCTCACAAAGCTGAAAGTAAATCTTACTTCCCACCGAAGGGCTACGCTTTCTTGCTTTTCCAGGTAATCTCGTCGTCGTTTTTCCTACTCGATCCTTGGAAAATGGGTTAATCTAATTTTTTAATCTGATTTAAACGGGACAGGACGAAGCGTCCGTGCAACAGTTGATCGACGCCTGCATCCAAGACGAAGAGAAACTGTATCTGTGCGTCAGTTCGCCAACAACGAAAGACAAACCGGTTCAAATACGGCCGTGGCGATTGAGCGACGCGGATTTCGTGCTGGACGCCTCGATGCCTTTGGATCCACGGAAAACGGTATTCGTCGGTGGTGTTCCCAGACCGTTGAAAGCTGTCGAGCTGGCGATGATCATGGACCGACTTTACGGGGGCGTGTGCTACGCCGGTATCGACACCGATCCCGAGTTGAAGTATCCGAAGGGAGCTGGTAGGGTCGCTTTCAGCAATCAGCAAAGCTATATAGCTGCCATATCGGCCAGATTCGTTCAGTTACAGCACGGCGACATAGACAAAAGAGTAAGTCAAATGAGGATAGGATAGAATAGGATGTCTCTCTCGTACGAATTTCATTTCACTCCCCCCCTTTTCTCCTTTTCTTTTCCTCCTCTTCTTCTTCCAGGTCGAGGTCAAACCGTACGTTCTGGACGATCAAATGTGCGACGAGTGTCAGGGACAACGTTGCGGTGGCAAGTTCGCGCCTTTCTTTTGCGCGAATGTTACCTGCCTACAGGTATGAATATTTCCTTTCGTATGAGCATTATTATTATTATTCCATCGATGTCGATGATCGATGGATCAAAAAAAAAAAAAAAAAAAAAAAGAAAAAATTCGTGAAATTTATTTGAAATTTGTTGTTATCATTTCTTTTTCCCCCCTTTTTTCGTTTGTTTGCAGTACTATTGCGAGCACTGTTGGGCGACGATTCATTCACGGCCGGGTCGAGAATTTCATAAGCCGTTGGTGAAAGAGGGTGCAGATCGACCTCGAACCGTGCCGTACCGCTGGTGTTAACCCCAGCTGCGTTGTCCCTAATTATCTCGCAACCCTAGCTAATTAACTACCACTTCTACGTACCAACTCCTCCTCCTCCTCCTCCTCCTCCTCCTCCTCCTCCTGCTCCTCCTCCCCCTACGAGAACCCCTCCTACCGACCGCTGTCACCCACCCTGCCATTCATTCGAGAACCCCCCTGGCCCGTCCGACACCTCCGTCTCACCCCCATGCTCGCATACCTACCTGCCTTCGGGAGCACAGCCCGAAACCGTTATTACCGCTACTTACCCACTGATCGTCGGTACTATCGCTATTCTATTACTATCGCTATTATCGCTCTATTATTACCATTATTACCACGCTCTATTATCGAAACGAATCACTATTATTATTCCACTATGAGTTTATTTTTACTCTCCAATCCACTATTGCTACTACTGGACGTGTTTACTCGGCGTGCACTAACCCGGTCGCCTTCGCCATCGCCACCACGGCCGAGACCGTCATCGTCGTAACCCCACCGCAGCCACCATCGCCATCGCCATCGCCATCGCCATCGCCATCGCCGCCGCCTCCACCGTGTTCCACCATCGGCCGAACGACGTCTCGACGACACGCATCGCACCGACGACAACTTTCACCGACAACTTTCGTCTCTCCCAAGTTTGTGCCGTGCACATATACAATATACACATCGTACACACGCATACACATACACACATACCGAGCACCGACCGCCCACCGAGAGGAAAGCAGCAGCGGTTTAGCAGCGGAGGGAGGGATGCTGATCGGCGACCGATACAGCGGCTCGTCGTCGATGGGACGGGGCAACGGCGCGAGCGAGCTGATTCCTCGAGCGGGAAAAAAAAAAACAATGGAACGAGGTCGAGAAGCGACGAAGAGAGAGAGAGAGAGAGAGAGAGAGAGAGAGAAAATGAGAGAGGGAGGGAGGGAGGGAGGAACGTCGAGGACAGAAGAGGAAAAAGAAGAAGGAACAACGGAGCATCGCCCTTCCCGACCGACCGAGATGGAGCATGCGTTAGTTACCGACATCGATATCGATGCACGCTTGTATACAGATACGTATGTGTGTATACGTATACACGCGTGTATTTATCTAATATATATATATATATATATCATATATAACATAGGTATTATAAATTCGTAAAATGGCCACGATTCGCGGCTCTCTATCTCTCTCTCTCTCTCTCTCTCTCTCTCTCTCTCTCTCTCTCTCTTTCTCTCACTCTTTCACTCACTCTTTCGCGCCGAGCGGGAAACGAAAGAGAGTTTCGAGTCGCGGATCGTCTCTTCCAAATCGTGGACGTGAAACGGGAAGACACGTTCCAGGAGTTTTCCCTCCTCGCCTTCGTTCCTTGCTCCGTCCGCTCGTCCCCTCTCTCTCGATCGCGGCGCTGGATCGATCGGTTGAAGGTCGATCGCGCATCGCGACCGAGCAGGGACGCGCGCGACAAGCGGAGGAATGATCGTTCTCCTGCGAGATTTGCCTATCCCGAGATATTTTCGGGCAAACGAAATACCGTAATCTCCTCCTCTGATTCTTCTACTTCTTCTTGTTCTTCTTGTTCTTCTTTTTCTTGCGATCTTTCACTTTTCGTCCACTTCGAGACTCCAAGGGCCAAGAGGCAAAGAAAGAAAATCGGAGAACGGGGGGAGGGAGGGGAGGGAGGGGAGGGGAGGGGAGGGAGGGGGAACGAAGCGCCAGGGCAGTTGTCCCTTCCTTTCGTCGATCGTTTGGCGCCACCTCGATTGAGACACGAGCCGAAGGAGGGATATCGAAGCGGGAATTGAGTGAAACGCCGTGTGGCAACGCCAAGCGGCGAGCAGCTTGCCCTCTCCTCGATGAAAGGATGCGGCCGGATCGTTTCCGGAAATCGGGGCCGTGTACGATTAAAATGTACGTGTGTGATTCGAAATGGGATAAGAGGTGATAGCGAGTACCTGATTCGATGACGCGAAACTGCAAGTTTAAGATTGGTGGAGCGTGAAAGAGAGAATGGAGAGAGAGAGAGAGAGAGAGAGAAAGAGAGAGAGAAAATGATCGAATGACTGGTGGAGAAAGATGGAAAATTCGTGTACGAATTGGAGTCTGCGCGAACGAATGAAGAGAGAAGAGAGGGGAAGGAAAAGATAGGAAAGGCAGGAAATATTGGGGAAAAGAAAAATGGTGGCCGGTGGATAAACGCGTAAAAGTGGTATTAATAATTATAACGAAAGAGTTGGAAGGTGAAATTTTAGATAATGGAAAACATCCACGCTTCGAACCGCTGTATATTAGACGATTATCTGTATCACACAATCTTTAGCTTTTAAGAAATTATTGGATATGTCGGATAGGTGCGTTATATATACATACATACATACATACATACATATATATAACACACGTACACACACATACAGACACACACATATATATATATATACACACGCGTTTATCGCGACTCGCGCTCGTAGGCAACATATTTGAGCGAAACGAATGATTTTTTACCGATTAACTTGTTCGAGTGCGGGCATAATAGTGAACAAAAAAAGTATCATTAGATAAAATGGAAGAGTGGATGGAAAGGTGGTAGTAGAAGACGGAGATGGCGAACGGGAATGGATAGATAGAGGACAGAAAAAATTTAAGAGGGAGTGTAGAGTAGAGACGCGTGAATGTGTGAGCGTTTGTGTCCATGCGCATGCGTGTAAGGGGGAAGCGAGAGAGATTGATCGAGAAAGAATAAGAAGGAAGAGGAAGAATGAACAGGGGGCTTAGAGAGGCGAAGTAGAGAGAGAAACGGGATTCGAACGGACGTTGAAATGACGATTAGTCTAATTCGCTTGACGCGCCGTTACGCGTTGAGTACACGTTTAACCGTACCAGATCCTCAGCCAATACTTGAAATCTTTACCGAGCGACCTTTCCAAAAGAAAGATAAGATAAACGAAAAAAAAATAAAAAAGAAAAAGAAAAAAAAAGAAAGGAAGAGAGAAAGAAAGAAAAGGGGAAGAAGGAAGAAGGGAGAAAAACGAGGGAATGAACCTCGCACAGGGTCGTACCTCGTACCAGACTGCTACTCGTTTTCAAAAGAAAAAAAAAAAAAAGAGAGAGTACAAAATGAAATGAACGGTCGCGTCGAAACTTGGAAGTCAAGGAAGAAGCACCGAAGTGAGAGCGAAGAAAAAAGAGAGAGAGAGAGAGAGAGAAAAGGATGGTTCGATCTTACGAAAAAGAAAAAAAAACGAGTCAAAGGGGACTAATTTCGGCCGTGAATCTGGAAAAACGATCATTAAGAAAGAAAGAAAGAAAAAAAAAAAACCTGGTTGAAACGTAAAATGATTCTACGTACCTGGGCCTCCGCGTTTCTTTTTTCGAATAACGAGCGGTGAAATAATGTCTCTCCAGTGGATCTAAAACACACTAAAACTACTTGAAACGAGTCAACCTCGCGAACCGAGAAACGGGGGAAAAAAAAAAAAACGCTCTCCTCTAGAGCGGACATTTTCTTGACAGAGAAGAGACTTGGCGACCGAGCTCCTAGCAAATTACTCTTCATACGTCCGATATAAGAGATTCGAGGGAAACGCGTGCAAGGATTAAAACATTCTTTTCGCGTGAGAAATCAATAGAATAAAGAAAGAAAAGAAAAATAATAATAATAATAATAATAATAATAATAATATTAATAATAATAATATTAATAATAATAATAATAATAATATTAATAATAATAATAATATTAATAATAATAATAATAATAATAATAATAATATTAATAATAATAATAATAATACTGCATGGGTTCCTCCTGTGTAGACACCGATCCTTCTTGTACCGATACGATCCGCGTTAAACGGCTGTCGCGATGCACGTTTTTTCTTAATCCTAACGAATTTCTTCGCTCGATGTATATAATCAAATAACTCAAATGAATGCAATCGACGTAGTTCAAATGAAATCTCATCTCGACGGAGACACGTTTATTAATAGGTTCTATTCTTCGAAGGAGGAACAGAGGGTTTTTCTCGGTGGAAAAAATATATTCTCGATGTGTCGTTTCCAACACGTGAATCGTCTCTTGTTGACTTGTGTTATCGTCCTCTTATCTTTCCATCTATCGGAACACCTATCTTACTTTAATCGCCTCTTTATTTTATCCCCTTACAAACGAAGTGTTGCAACGTATCGAAGAGAAGAAGAGAGAAGAAGAGAGAGGAAGAGAGAGAGAGAGAGAGAGAAGAAGAAGAAAGAAAAAGGAAGCGGAAAAAAAAAGAAGAGAAATTGTCTTATTTCGATCGATCCCGGGCAAAGTGACGATGTAACGGTGGAAACGGCACGGGTGAATAGTCAGTATGCAACGTTATGTGTTCCGCTTAATAGATGGACGTTTTATACGTAGCAGCACCGTAAGTTGAAACCATAAGCTCGTAGATTAACCTCGCACGACGAGTATCTTTAACGACACGCTTTCGCGTGTTATGCAAAATAAAATACACGCGATATACACGTATACACATAAACATATATATATACACATACATATATACATACATATATACATACATACACACACGCACACACACACACACATAATATATACACGCATACCTACGACATCATAAATTTAGTCATCCGAAAATGAATCGGTAAAAAAAAGATGATCGTGGATTAATCGACGACGTACCTTGCGTACGCTTAGTAACGAGGAATGAATAAACAAAAAAATAATTTCCACATCTATATATATATACATATATATATTTACATATATATTTATTTTTTTGGTACTCTTTTTGTATATACGTGTCGCCATAGATTAGGTGACGATCTAGGATCCGCACGAGATACGAGATATCCGCGTGAGAGAACAGAGAGCAAAAAACCAAGGGAGATGAGGGGAAAGAATGAGGGGGAGTGATAGTAAGAAAATGAGAAAGAGGGTGAAAAATCGACACGTGTGAATGTGTGCAAGGTGTGAAAAAGTGAGAGAGAGAGAGAGAGGAAGGGAGGAGAGATGATTAATCGCATTAACTTTCCGTCCTTTCGTTCACACGAATTTCCACGATTGAACTTGAAATACCGATTCATCGTATCCCGTTTGATACAAGCACGCCATCGGACGAGAAAATTCAACAAGAATAAATGGAGGAATAAGATTCACATCCTGTATACGCGAAGGAGGACACGTTCGACGAAAGAGGAATAGAAGACGGCATCCTATCCTTTCCTTGATAACGATCAATCAATCAAGAGCAAGGAAGAAGGGGGAGAAATTCTGTGAACGAAAAGACGCGAATGAGATATAAGAGGGAAGATAAGAAAGGAAAAGAAAGGAGAAATGGAAAAAGCAAGACTTGGCGAAACAAGAGGACAAAGGGAAGAGGATTTTTAGTTAGAGTAATTTTTCGACGCTCGGCACCGTTCTCGCGTGGACGAGAAGCGATGAAACGCGGCGCGGCTAGGATTAGCGCGAGATAGCGGCCGCGATTCACGCGTCTCGGCAACGTCGCTATCTCACGGATAAATTTATTAAACGCATATACCCAACGCAACGTATATGTGTGCATATATATATATATATATGACGCGGTGCATTCGAGATAATTTTTCCCATTGCTTCGATGAAACGCGTTTACGCTCGACGATTCGCTCGACGATCCTCGATCCATCGAAAAGTGTCTCGTGAAAAGGTTTCGAGACTCCGCGTACCACCACTTTCGATCGCGGCGCGACGAGAAAAAGAAACGCGTGAGAATTCGTTTATTCTCATTGGTTATCGTGACGCTGTCTCTCCGTTTCTCGCCACCAATATTGATTTCGAAAGAATCCCTTGGAAGAAGCGTGGAAAAACGGCGACGAATCTTTTTCTTTTTTTTTTCTGGAGCCGTGTCAATCGACGCGGACGAGAGGGAATCGAGGGTCAGCGAAACAGAGAGAGAGAGAGAGAGAGAGAGAGAGAGAAGTCGAGCAGTCGGCGAGCGACGGCTTCGAAGGGATCGGAAAAATTCTTCGTCGCGATTAGTGCGATGCGAGGTTGCCGCGGCTCATATATATACTAGGTGAAAATTTGCATCCCGTAAACGAGCACGAAACGATACGCGTTCGAAACGCTTTCGCGCGCGGCCACAGGCTCGTAACCACACCGACACACGTAAACGAGACCAACACTTATTAGACACACGATCTCGTTCGTGCACGGACACGTTCTCCCCACTAATCGATCGATATAATCGTAGTGAAACTTATCTAGGTACCAATTCACCTAAATCAATTGATAATTAAAAAAAAAAAAAGTATATATATATATGTATATATGTGTATATACATATATATATATATATTGATATACATATAATATATATATTAATATATATTATATAGAAAGTAGTATTGTTCCGATACTCGATCGCGAACCGAGTATTTGGGCAAGAATCGAGATCGAGATTTTTCTAGACAAATTTTTCTAATCGTTGACGAATCGCGCGGTGTTCTTCCACGCATCAAATCGTGGAGACAATCTCCTTCTATCGATACATACTCGCGTAACGCATCCGTAGAAAATTCTTTAAATCGTTTTTACGCGGCAAACGGACGCTCGAAACGAGGCGGTAATCCGTGTCAGAATTATTTATAATTATCCCGCCACTTTTCACTAAACGAATTTTTTCCCCTCCCCAGAGCGGTGTCTTACGTTCTGGCACGGATCGTATCGATTCCCGCGCGCATGCGTATATACGCGTACGCGTGCATATACACGATTCTTCAATATATATATATATATCTATATATATGATATATAAACACACAATATGAAAACGTGCATGCATGTTTTTCGTACCGCGGAAGTATAGTCGCTTTTCTTCGAAAACGTTAACCAAGAGATGATGATGTCTTTTTCTAGGCATCGATCTCGGGTTCGCGAAACGCGAAATACCTGCGTGGTTTGGATCATACGTTTCGATCATACCATGAACGGTGTGAATACGCGAACGGTGAGACAATTATTAGACAATTCAAGACATTTTCCAAATATTTCCGTGTCCGCCGATATCGAATCGAAACGATTTATTTCATCGTTTCGGACAGTTTGGACAGTTTGTTTTTGTACGTGGTAGATAGTGATTTAGGCCAATTAGGAAATTTTAATTTGAATATTTTTTAGACGTGTAATTTTTTTCTTTCTTTCTTTTTTTTTTTTTTTTTAATTTCTCATCGCGAAATTGTTGTGTCGATGAGGTAATCGTTCTGGGAAGATTATTCTCAACGATTCGAAATGTGGATTTGTAGGAAAATTATTTCGCGGATCTTTGTTCGATCGTATTCGAGATATTTCACGCGCGGCGATTGAACAATTCGCCACGAACGAACATATCGCTCCTCCGGAACTTACCGGAAGTGAAGTGGATATACACGCGTGAAATTTTTGAAAATTTTTTTCTTCTTCTCGATTGAATAAACGAAAAAAGAGCGAAACTGTCCGCAGATGAAGCACGTTGTTCGTTCGAAATACACGAAGCCGCGATTTATTAATGGGAGGGCGGGGGTGGGATGAAACCGCGAGAAAGTATGGATAAAGGAAACCGCGATTGTAGTCGCCCATAGCGAAATTTTATACGTAAGAACGTGCACGCGTACACACGATGAAAACGCATCCGCCGATGATGGCGCGCTAAGAATTTAAAAGGGAGAGAGAGAGAGAGAGAGAGAGAGAGAGAGAGAGAGAGAGAGAGAGAGAGAGAAATAATAAATAACGATGACGATTGATGATAATAATAATAATGATAAGCTACATTCGCAGTGAAGTTATTGTTTGAAATCGCCCTTGTAAGAAAAGTAAACGACTACAACAACAATAACAATTACAACAACAACAACAACAACAACAACAAAACAACAACAAACAAACAACAACAACAAAATAACAAATAATATGTTAGGTATGATTCTTCACCTCCTTTGTAATATGTGTGATAAAGCATAATATATAATATAATGACAATTATATATATACATATATGTGTACATATATGTGTGTATGTATATGTATATACACATGTATGTATATGTATATATACATAGGTATATAGATACATAGATATAAAATACTAATATATAATTAATAATAACACGATCGAAATATTTAATATATTCTGACGGACTTGAAGAGAAAGAATAATGAATGAAACTGATGAAATTAGATGTTGATTGCGCGATACGACAGTAGGGAAACGAAAATAGGAAAAAAAAAAAAAAAGAAAAAGAAGGGGAAAAAAATATGAGAAACGTGGAATCTTGTCGGAAAAAAAGGGGGAAAAAAAAAAAAAAAACTCCAACTCGAAGATGGATGAAAATAATCGCGATGCTGACTGAACGATGCTTGCACGGGCTCACGCGTGATATAAACTACGTGTATACAACTGTCGTTCGAGTAATGCGTACGAATGATTTCAAAAAAAAAAAAGAAAAAAAAAAATAACACGGTGACGAATTGAAAACGTGAAAGCGAGTGAAAAAAATTTTGGGGGAACGAGTAATAATGGTAGTCACTTACGATAGATTTGTATTTTTCAGTGTTGAAAAGTTTTTTATACCGCTGTTATATTCTTGTCTAAATATCTTAGTTCAGAAAAAAAAATGCGAGAGACGGTGATTGCGTCTTAGCTTGCATGAAACTATATAGGTGCATTCGAAAGCGCCGAATGCGTGAGAGAAAGAGAGAAAGAAAAAGAAACAGAGAGAGAGAGAGAGAGAGAGAGAGCGCATTATAGAAGAAAGGGATGAAAGAAATCGAGTGAGTGAGAATTAAAAAAACGATTGATTCGGTGGGGATAGTGAAGAGTGGGGAGGAGAATGAGTGAGAAAAAGGAGGAGAGGAAGATAGAGAGAGAAAGAGAGAGAGAGAAGAGTGAAAGTTGGACGAGCAATCGAAAAAGCACGGATATACTGCGTATAGCGTAAGCTCCAAAAGGGAGGGACGATTTGCTCGAAAGGGATCGATGATGAAGAAAGATCTCGCGTATCGAGGAATTCTTAGCGGAAATGTTCGATTCTTGATTCGATCGAACTTTTCGAAATTTTATTTTTTCGAGGCGCTCTTTAAACGGATAATATCCATCGCGTCGTGATATCGTGGTGCAAATCTGGAATAAGGAGCGGTGCAATGACTTTTGACTTATCATTCCCGCCAAGCATGAAATTTATGTTTCGAACGATTGAAAACAAAGATCGAAAAGCGGAGAGAATTATTTTTTTATCGTTTTACGTTGCGCGTTATGTATAAAAGTAAAATTCACGAGAGAGAGAGAGAGAGAGAGAGAGAGAGTGAGTGAGTGAGTGAGTGAGTGAGTGAGAGAGAGAGAGAGAGAGAGAGAGAGAGAGAAAGAGAGAGAGAGAGAGAGAGAAAT